TATTCGATAAAAATGTGCGACGATACTGTGCATCATTGTTCAACAACGATACGGTTTTTTGTGAGTCTTGTAAATCAAGACGATCGACTTGATCCAAATACTTCTGTGCATCTTCACCAATTTTTCCAATTATTGGTCTCATATCTGCGATGATATTTTAATCAAAAAATTTACAAGTATAAGTCTAATTACTTAAAAGATAATGACTCGAAATACTCACCAGAGAGAAATTTGTTGTTAAAATCGCCTTTTCTTACTGGTATTTGCTTCTTTTTTTTATTATTTTCTTTTACATCACGTTTTCGTCGACGTTTTAGTTCCAAATAAGATGTTTGGCTGTTCCAAGGTCTACCTCTATCTTCTTTCCTATAGAATCGATTGTTATCAAAATACTCTGGTCTTACATTATAATCACTTTGAGGTAAAGCTCTAGTGCGTAGAGGAATATTGTCCAAAAAATCACTTTCCATAGTAAAAGGTCTATTTAGATATGTATCAAGAGGTTGCTTTGAGTATTCCAATCTTCCAGGATATGAGGGTGAATCGCTTATCCAGGTGCTATATGGAGGTATTCGACGCTTATTGTCTTGTACATAGAGACGACCTGGAGAATTTTGTAGAATAGGTGGTGAACTAAACGATGGAAGGAGCGTTTGTAGTGTTAGTTGACGATTATCGTGTGACAATGAATTAACATTCAATGGGTCTAATCTCTTATGAAAATCTTGATGTAATTCATCTCCACTATGATAATCGTGTCCAAGCATATTCGCTAGTGGGAAAGGAGAAAATGATAATGGTGAATCTTTAAGATCTTGAAGTATATGAATTTGATACTGTTGCTGTGGCTGCCGTTGCGGTAACATTTGCTGAGGACGAGAACGTAATGATGGTTGTTCTTCTTGAAATCCAGACATTCCTTGCAGACCAAGCGCTACAGAGTGTAAAATAATGGATAGATATTTTATAATCATGAGTTAAATTAAGGCAAATACCTGCTGATTTATCGACAAATGGTGATTTAAGTATTTTCGAAAAATCTAAATTAGGTAGCGAAAGAGAAGAACCACTAGACGACGGCAAAGAAATTGATTCTGAGCCAGATGAAGAAAATGGCAACCATTGTTGTTGTTGATTTGATTCTGTTGAATCAAAACATTGCGCACTTGATAATAATTGAATAATAAATATTGTCTTTGGATATATGCCGGAATATAAACTATCAAACATGCTGACTTATTAATATTCAAGCAATTTAGTACTACACCAATATTTCACGCTAGAAAGCTTGTTTTCCTTTAAAGTCAATGCTATGATACTAAATTAACTTAAGCGGAGACAATAGCATAAACCTGTTCTCTATCGATACTCTTACTTCTCATATAGCAAGTTATGATGATAGATACGATAAATGATGTAAATCCTGATATTCATTCAAATTTTATTATGTATTTATCAAACAAAAAATCCATCTGTTTCGAAACCTTATACATGAACAGAAATTGGTTTTTGATTTGTCACAAAAAAATGATGTATTTCGTCATATGTATAGTGTGTTTAAACTTTTATTAATCATTCTTGCGATCGAGCATAAAAAAAGTTGGGATATAATATACGCGTCATTGAATGATAAAAATAGACGCTGTCTTTACAGGGTAACAAACGTCAAAAGTATAGTCAAAACAGGCAACACTATAATCTTTGATGGTCTCTAATAAAAACAAAGAAGAAAATAATGAATTTAATAAAGACAACACGACTATAGCCATCTTCATCCCCACGTGAAAGTTTGAGACATAACATCTCATCTACGATTTTGTATCACATTTAAAACAGGATGTGCTCCACTACCTAACTAAACTTTTTCTCAATTACAAAATCACAAATTGTTTTCAATTCACGGACAATCCTGAAAGGTAATTTTCGAAAACGTATTATCTTATTTCTCCAAATCAGTCGTCATACCTCAAGCATACCCGCACTGGAGAAATTGTCAAACAATAAAATTACAAAGAGATTATTCTAAAGATAATAAATTACAAACGATGTTCGTCGTTATCAGGAAAATAATAAGATGAAACTTACACAAAACACAAACATCTCGATTAACTTTCTTTTTTCTATATAGTTTTATGAGCTTTTTTACTAATCAGATAAGAGTTTCACATATCCTTTTGCTCACAATTCAATACTCTCTCTAACGTAATTTTACTTTAAAAATTGGGTCCAGCTATTATGTGAAAATAAGACAATAATTAAAAAATAAACACTTTTTTGGATATGAAGCAAGTTATAACTGAATAAAAACGTTCTACCTTCGTAAGGAAATATTCCCTGATGCTAAAAAGCGGAATTTACATATCGTAAGGACAGACACATCAAGTGAGAAGACTCTTAACTAAAACAAATTTTCGAAAGGTTACACTATTTCTCTCTGTACTTTGTAAAGTCTCTCTTAATATCTATGTGTTTTATATGGGGAATATATAATCCAGTGAAGTCCATCTTCCAGAATCTAATTAATAGTTTGTCATCAATATATGAGTACGTGTATCAATCGCTTTCATCAGTCATGTTCAGTTAAATATTAAGTTGAGAGAACTATGAAAAGAATTAGAGAAACAAAATATTGGTAATAGATCTGATAGAATTGACTGATATGATTAAAGGTAAGGCGCGCGTAATTCAAAGTTCGTACGCTATTTTATATTCGATCGGATCACACATCATTCGAAAGAGGAGGATGAGCTGAACAAGAATAACTTGGTTTCAGCCTTCCTAGGTCAAGTTTTCCGTTCAAAGAATTGAAAATACTTTGAGCGCTTGAAAAAACAGAAAAACGTCCCTCCGCGAAAAATGTCTATAGTCTTTCTACGTTTCAGTTTCTAGGCTACGAGTTCGTAAAATACACTTTTAACCCTTTACACCCGGCGGTCCCTTCCAAGGGACATTGATTGATTGTAATAGATTTATACAAAGAACGGATCATCAGGCCATAAGCTAGATTATTACTAATGTAGGACAATAGAGTAGTCTAACTTTTGATTGAAATAAGAAAAAAACATTTCCATTTTAATCCGATATTTTAGAATTTTAAAACTGAATGAAGTTCAAAAATGAATTTTTTGGCTTTAGATATTTTCTATACTTGTAGCCACTAAATCATTTTCTAATTTTGTAGTTGGTAGTTTTGATTGAATGGATGTACTTTATAATGAAATCAAAGCAGACATTTTTGTAGCATTCTTCTTTGCGTAAAAGCGCTGTGGATTCACTGTCCCTTGGAAGGGACATCATGTATCCACGCGACAAAGCAATACCACTTAAGTCCAGATATAACATGGATGTACCAACGAACTATAAGTTTCAATGCAATAGTTATTTCAGCGGCAGCTATAATAAAAGTGTCTTCGGGTGTAAAGGGTTAAATTACATTTTTGAAGCCGAATCAGAAAAATGTTTCGGAGCTTCAAACTGAACCGCAGAAAAACTGTAGGCATTTTTCGCGGAGGGACGTTTTTCTGGCTTTTCAAGCTCTCAAAGTATTTTCAATTCTTTGAACGGAAAACTTGGTCTAGGAAGGCTGAAACCAAGGTATTCTCGTTCACCTCATCCTCTCTTTTGAATGATGTGTGATTCGATCGAATATAAAATAGGGTATGAACTTTGAATTACGCGCACCTTACCCCTCCCCTCTTTTTGGGCTTTTCGTAGAAACGTTGTGAAATAAAAATTAAAACTCACAAAGACTTCATATTTTCAGAACTGATTGGAAACTCAATGGAGCATTTTTTCGTTTCTGTTTCAAGTTTTAACTATCACTATTCACGAGTTTTTCACAACACTCGGTTTTTCATTGTGTCCCATTGCGACCCTCCGCCCCTTAAATTTCAACCGATAGAGTTAAAAATTTTACTTGAGGTACTTAAGGTAATATCGCAGAGATATTTTTGAGAGTATTTTTTAAGGCCTTTCCTTGTCGAATTATAGGAAAAGTACTGAAAAACGTCTCAAAAACCAAGTTTTTCATTTTTAGAAACCGTATAACTCGATCTAAGTCTTAGGTCCAAAATAAAATTCAAAAATAATACCGCTGCGATACTACTGAGTACCTTTGGTAAAATTTTTAACTTAATAGGGTCAAATTTAAGAGGGTGGTAATGTGACACAATGAAGCCCGGTAGCAAAAAAATAGTTTTCGAGAAAAACACATTTTGTACACAGTTCACTTTTTTCAGGGCATTTTTCAATATGCTTATATTTCCACGAAAACTCATCAGAAAATTCTGAAAAACGTCTCATTATGAAGAAAACACTTTCTTCTGTCAGACTATGTGTAAGAAAAAAATTTTAATGTACAGAAAGGAGAGTAAAGTTTATGAAACTAAAAAACTGAGGTTTTTTTTAAGCTTGAATTGAATGTTAGAAAAATGACCTTATAAGCAATGAAAGCGTAGATATCATAGTTTTTCTATTCTTTTCCTTTAAAAAAATTGTCACATTTTACCATTATTTGAGCAAGGGAACATAGTAATTATAATTAAATAGCATTTATAATTATTAGATATAAATGATGGATGAAAGCCGTTTGATTCTCAGTGATCTGGAGAGAAACGAACATAATTTTTTGTTGCTAAATTAATTGAACCAATCCAATTCTACAGCAAATTCTAAAACGCTATAAAATTCTATTCGTTTATTTTCTTTTTTTCGATTCTTTTCTTGAGAATAATTACAATCGCAAACACTTTTTCTATCACAGAATGAACCAGTTGGATAGAAGAAAAAAAGAATATTGTAATCTGGACAAGCGAATAACTAACTCATGGGAACAAAATGACCACAAAACTATAGCAAGCAAAACGGACATATTTTCTCTCTTTCTCTCTCTCTCTTTCTTTTCTTTTTTTCTTAAACATATGCACAGCCTTTTAAGTTTATGATTATAATATATACACACATTTAGGGCAGTGTTACTGAACATTCTATACGTGTGATCGTTCCTTTTCTCTTCCCTTTTTTTCCTCTCTTTCTTTCTCTCTCATCAGTGTTTTTAAAACTATAGAATGGTTACACTGACGTCCAGTCTGTACAGTTGAGGTAGAAAAATGTAGCATAAATGAAAAAAGTTGTCATTGAACAATTAGAAATTTTATTCACATGGCGTTTTAGCAGAAGAAAAAAGCTCAGTCATTTAATACAATGACATTTCATTTTTTGTTTTTCATTAAAAGTAGGTAGATACAAAGATCTTTTATATATTCTTTATTTAACAAACTATTTACCTTTTCATTGAAACGTTAATAGACAATTTAAGATTGAAATTTCACCGTTTCATAATTGAAAACATGATCCCTTTTTATCCATGTTATAAAGTACGAATATGTTTTCTCTTTTGTTCCAATTTTTCTCTTTTTAGATTCATAGTGGAAGAATGAGTAAACAAACAATAAATATAAATCTTCTTAATGAACATTTTGTTTGTAAATTATGTAATGGATATCTAATTGATGCATGTACTATTAGTGAATGTCTCCATTCATGTAAGTCACATAGAATCTTCTGTTACGAATATTATATTTTGATCTCTATAATTAATTTAATATCATTCCAATGTAAACTGTTTTGTTTATACTTTTTTTTTCTATGTCATTTAGTCTGTCGTACGTGTATTGTTAATTATTTTAAAGATGATGAAAATAAAACTTGTCCAATATGTAATTGTATTTCTCATCCTGCTAAACCTCTATTATCATTAAAAAAAGATCGTAATTTACAATATCTTGTCTATAAAATTATACCAAATTTATTTAAAAATGAAATGTTTAAACGACGTCAATTTTATTCTCAAAATAATTTAACAACAACAACACAATTAACAAGTTGTTTTCCTGAAGAAGAATTAGGTGAATTAAGTGAAACAGTATTGAAAACAGATGATACAACCGATTTAATGAATGTTTTAATTGAATATAATGAAAAAGGAAAATTATTAAATGATGCTGATCTTCTTATTGACGACAATAAACAACAATCTGAATTGACTAGTATAAAAGCTGAGCTACATCAACTAGGTGAATTTAATAAAACAATTGATAAATCACTTCATCATCATTATTTACAATGTCCATCAAATTTACCTATAGGTATACTGAAAAAATTTTTAAAAAAATCATTATATTTACCAGATAGAACATTTCATTTGACTATTGATATTATGTATGATGAATTACCAATTAAAGATCATTTTACATTAAATGATATCGCAAATATATACGGTTGGCGACGAAAGAAAACATCACAATTTCATCTGTTTTATAGAATAAGAAAAATAAATCGTGATGATATTCTTGAAGAAATCGATGATGAAACAGTTTTTACAAATGATAAACAACCATTAGAAGAACCGATAGAAGAAATACCATCCAGTCTTAGTCCAAAAATAAATTCAATTATTAAAAATACCAACGAAGAACAAGTAGAACAGCCAGTTTTACAAACAGGTTTAGCTACAGAAAATTTACCAACAACATTTATGGTTAAGAGTCCATGTAAAATAAATCCATTTTCAACTCCTGTAAAAAAAAAATATAATCGATCAATCAAACGAATTAGTAGTGAACAAAAACGACAACAACTTAGTATGAAACCAATAACACAACCGTTAATAATGCCTCGTGGTGCAACATTACTGAAACTACCAGCTAGTATGATATTAAAAAGTAGATCAAATATATATAATTTAGCAACATTGGAGAATAAAATTGAAACTGTAAGTTTTCTTCTAAATAGTATATCGAAAAGGCTAATTATTTTACTTCTATTATTGTTTAGAAATTAGATAATGAACATAAGTCAACAGCAGCAATAAAAACATATTATTCTCATACAAGTAACGATTCACTAACACCTACATCATTCAATGGTCTAAGTTCTTTCCTTCCTGTAACACCATTATCAAATTCATATTGTATTAGTCCAAATAAAACTTTATTACAAAAACCAGAACAACAACAATTACAACTGTTTGAAAATGAAATTATACCATTGAAAGAACATAATGCAATAATGCTTCGTTGTAATACAGTTACACCTTCTGCTATTGCGACACCAATCAATTATACATTAAATTCGAGTAAAGCAACAGTTCTTGATCTATCAAAACATAATATTGATAATAATGGATATGATATGAAAACAAATTCACAGACAATCAAACGGTATAAATTATTCTACTCCATCTATTTTTCAAGAAAAGAAAATTCTTAAGAGAAAATAAGAAAAATTATTTTGTTTGTCTCTATCAACTGCATGTTAAAGCATCTTTAGGAGAGAAATTTTTTGGTTATTGATGATTTAAAGCCACTTTTATTGACATACGATAATTTTAGATCGATCGTCGATGAATCATCTAGTGATCAAAATGAAGCGAAGAAACAAAATTTAGGATCATCTAGAAACGGTAAGATTTCATTCGAAAGTATCTATTTATATGGATGAATAGATGCATATTGTCGTTAAATTTTAGAAAAACAGCAGACAGTGGTTAATATGAAAAATATGGAGACAACATCAATGAATAATGAGTCAGCAGTCAGTTCTAATTCCGAAATCAAATCAAATGATATTGGAGAACAATATTTAAAAAACACTAATTTTGATTATTCGATAAATAAGAGTGATGTATCTTCAGTTGATTTTGTCGAAGCAACTCCTGATCAGTCAATTGATAATGCATACTGTTCAATAGTATCCGATTTTATTATTTCAAAATCAATTAATATGGACAAAGAAGAAATGTCATCTTCAATAAATGAACGTCTAAATGACAATTCACAGTCGAGAAACACTCATTCTTATTCCGATGTGATCAAAGAAGCAAATAAAGTATTAACAGATAATCCAATATTTACATCCACAGTATCCATTAATAACAAGAATTCTGAAAATGTAAAAATATCTAATATTGGACGATCAATAGTGAAATTAGTGAAACCAATTGCAACGGTTTCACCCTTAAATTCAACGATGAATAATGCCATTGAACAAAAACCAAAAAATATGACTATGTCAATCGATAATCTTCCGAAACAAATATCAAATGAAACAGTCTCTGCTAATCATGAAATTGACCAAGAGTAAATTTAATTTAGAAAAAAGGATTTTTATTTATATTTATTGAAAATCGTTCTACTTTTAGGGCTACAAATATTGTACCTCCCATTAAAAAACGACGTACCTCAAAACTATTACAGATGGACGACAAAGCAGTTCGATCAGCTCAAATTTGTGAAGTAAATCTCAAAGACGAACCGATTGACGGTAAAGCAATTGAACAAACATCTTTATTGTTCAACAAAAACGAAGAATATGTAAAAAAACAAGACATTGGTAATGATCACTTTTCTATTATTCAGATTTACAGAGTGTATACATTCTTTTAGTCTGTTTAGGTGATATGGGTAAAAAGGAAGATAAAAAACAAGAGACATTAACCAAAGATGGATCCATCAAACGTACTCATAAAACAACCTCTTTAGCAAAAAAAGACAAAACAAAAAAATTATCTAAAAATATTTCACATATAAATGTTGAAACAAAATCCAATGTTATTAAAAAGACAGTATCGAGTCATAGCAATTTGCCTAATACATTCTTACCATCGAATACGCACGCTTCTAATCCACAACATCAACAACAACTGTTCCAACAACATGCAGCCTTTTTTAACCTGTTCAATTATCCTTATCTTATTGATCCGTCTACCGCAATGATAATGAACGCATGTGATCCTAGATATTTTTCATCTTCGAACTCATGGCCACCACCATTTGATCTTACACATTTGTCTCGAATGCACTCATCGACAAAAAATGGTTCTTCAGATCAAACGTCGAAAACACCACACGATTTAAATTCGGTTAGTTTAAAAGATTTTATTGAAAATAAATCAAATGTGGCTATAAATGGAGTATCAGGAGATAGTGTTACACCTTTACATCCGTTTCATAATTCGGATCAACTAACATTATCAACCGACTCACCTACTCCATTAAGCACACAAGATAATCTTCTCTCATTGACTCGAACATCATCATCAAATTCATTTCATTCATCTTCTCGTGGAGAAAATATTAGATCAAAACAAAATCATTCTTCGAAATCAAGTCATCATTCATCGCGTTCTTCAGCACTCACACTTCCTTCTAGTTGTTCTGCAAACGTCTTGGTATCGCCCTCACCATCCCTTACTACTGTGAATGGTACTTCGTCCTAATTTATCTCACATCAATTTTTGAAAAAAATTGAACAAACTGTACATGAGCTTTTATTTTCTTACGTTTTTTCGTATTTTTTTGTTTTTCAAACTAGTCATTCGATGTATTTTTGTATAATGTATTTTCAAAATATATAAAAATTGTTTGGCGATCGTGTATATTTGTTTCACTTTGAACAAAAGTGAAAAACAAGATGTATTTTCGCTTAATTTACATTAAAAATTGCAAATAACGCTGGTTGATGTTGACGGAAAAGTCAGGAAGACGTTTACTCACTCAATACATCCAATATGATATTCGCTTAGATAAAAGAAGATCATTCCAAGATAAATTATTATTAAAAGATGGAAAGACAATGGTATCCTTTCTAAATTGTTAAAATGAATGAACTAGTAGTTAAATCTATTTCAAGACAGAACTGAGTGTTTTCTGGTGTTGGTCTACTAATTTTCTATATATTGGATAAAGTTCATCCATTACGATGTTTCTATTGAAAGAAATATGTTTAAATCGATGAACGAAAAAAAGTAGACGAACACAATAAACAAAAAGCAAGTGTAATAATCAAAAGAGAAGAAATAAATCGTTATCTGAATAATTTTGTGCTAGATTTGTGTTCTTAATCTTTGAATCTTGTTTAATCCAATCATACATTTATTTGCGCAAAAATATAATAACGACTATCACGTTCGCCATTATTACTTAAAAATCTTCATATTTAGCGGGGCTGCGTTTTGTGAGGCTTGTATTTCACATTCATATATCTAAAGTGCTTCGGAATCTAATTGTATTTCAGATATCATAAGTAATGACATGGCTATAAAAAAGAAAAACGTGGTGTGCACTTAATATCATAATATTGTACATTATTTTTACGGTGAAACGCCATGGCTTTTGTTTTAACTTTTCGATCTTTCACATCAGCTTTATTACCGCGTAATACAACTCATATATTTTCATAAACACGAGTAAAATTCAATTAAGGATATTTTTATATGTATTGTGTTGATGTTACCTTGAATATATTTATTGCACATCGTCTACTAATCATATAAGCCTGACGACGATAGTATGAGGTATTGAAAGCTTGCTTTTTATATAAAATCATTTTACGAAAATGTTTTTCAGTGATATTAAATAGACTTAGCTTTATAAAAACAAGTCAAAATGTTAGTTATGCCTATCAATGTAATGACCATTTTTTAAACCTAAAAGAAACGAAATACTGTTAGAACTCGAAGAATCATCAATGTAAAATAAAATTTGTACCTATGAGACATACATATGCAAATATGCGGTAATATGATCTGTCTTTCCTGCCTTATGTGCAAAAAGAAGAGCTCATTTTTTGAAGTAACTAGAATTTGTAATACAACTAAATATTAATAAAACGTAAAATTTATTCCAGAGATGGACAAGTGCATGTACTTACAAGTCCAATTTCGTGAATTCCCACCTCAAGAAAATTCAAATTTTGAAAAATCCTAAGACAAAGTTAGGTCCACGTCAATTCTAAAATATGTCGGGTCTGATCTTAAGTCTAATGAAAAACTTTGAACTGTTTTTACATTTTTTAGAATGAGGAGACCGATTATTGTGTTACTCTAGATAGAAAGCAAATAAAAACTTGCTTTGAGGTGGAAGACTCGTTTCCACTTGCGCTATAATAGCGATTGGATTGCGGGAAAAGCGTGATAGTTTTAATTCTCTTTCTTCATTTAAAACAGTAATCGAACGTTGTCTTTCAAGCAAGGAATGTAATTGGCATGAGTACATCTTACAAGTACTAATGGGAAAACTGGAGTTGAATAGAAAAATTCATATCCAAATCTGATGTTAATTTCTAAATCACGATTTCAAGCCCGTACAAGTCTAAACTTGGACTTGTCCATCTCTGCTCCCTTCGTAAAATTTCTTCGAATGACAAAATTGTCGAAAACAAAACAAAACAAAATGGTTTCGTATTTCAACAGAAAATAAGATAATATTGATCATTCTGTGAGTTCTTCAGTAAAAGAACCGCTGTCTGGTCCAAAGAATGAAGCTGTTAATAAGAGTACTAGTTTACTTCCAGCAAATGTTATTAAAAGTTTAGGGGAAATAATATCTTATTCTTGTAAACAATGAACAAAAAAGGCGTGATACTTAACTGAATATATGCCTGGGGGTAGATTCACGTACCAAAAGAATTTTGTAATCAAATCTATTATGTCGAGATTATTGGACACCAGACTTAGTGAAGAAAACACAATTGTGAATAATAATGAAAATGTTATTACATTATTTGGATAAAATAGCCGTCAGATCTTTTTAATATTCTTCGTCAGAATTCTATTCTGTACAGGTCTGTGTTGATCATCATACGGCCAGAGAAGATGGTTAATCCAAATGATCATCGTACAATGCTTATTTACAGCTATCTAAAATCGCTTTTTTTTAGCACGCAGACTCAGTTGTCCTTAACTAGTCACAAGCACTAGTAGATAATAGAAAACACAAAAGGCAACGATATTTTTTAAAGAAATATTGAAGAAAAAAAACAGTACACGATACAACAATATCATGTCGAATTATTTTCTGTTAAAAAATATAAAAATTAAACGTTGCAGAGATTTTATTGATCAATTGAAATACGACATTTATCGTCTGCACTTTACTTTACTTGAATGTATGTATGTTTAAAATGTTAAAACAATAAGAAGATACTACAAACTAAAGCACAAAGAAAGTGAAAGTGAAAAAATATAAATGTGATCACATTGTATTACAGTATTAACAATACAAGATTTATATAGACACGATATCCATCCACTTATTCTTTTAGTTTATCCAAAAAATAAATGTCTTTTTTATTCGTTTAATGTATGTATGTTTCACGTGTGGCATATGCGATATAGTTTCGCTACATAAACAAAAATAAATAAAAGAGTACAGTTCTTGCAATGTTGATGACTAAGAGTTGATTTATACGTCGGATATAAACGACAATACTGATTCGATTGTTGCAGTTTGTCTTGATCGACAAATGTTTCAAAAAGAACGCACGCTGCTTGCAAGAGATATATTAGCTAATTTACAATATCAACTTCTACATTATTCGAGGAGGTCAAATAAGCTTTTAAAAAAGCGTATCCACCATACATTTCTGGTCAATAAAATATCCAGACTGAAGTATGTCTTGTCACAACTGAATGTATTGCGTCTGGCAAATAAGAAGTTTCATGTTAACGATTAGAGTTCAAGATATGTATGTGAAAGAGAGAAGAGCATCATTTTGTTCCTTTGGACCAGCCGAATTTTAATATAAAAAAAGACAACCACACATATTCAAAATTGAAGAAAGAAACAAGTTATCTATTTATAAGTTCATACAAAAAAAATTCTAAATATACACTATTTACAAAAAAATAAACAACAACTACTACTTCGTGTTAATACATTGAACAATAATAATCTTTATTTATCTCAAAATATATACTAAAAGTATCTGTATATTCAGTATAATAAGAAATAGAGAAAGAAAACAAATCCGTCCAATTTACTTTATCAGTTTCATATCTCCGACATGCGTAGACGATAAATCTTTATACGCTCAACTCTTTAAAGTGTGTCATTAGAGACCACATTGTAATTAAAGAGAAGAAACAGTCTCTCTCTTGTTTTTGCGTTCAGATATCGATCAACGACCACAAACAAAGAAGAACTATGTTCACTGGAGAGAAAAGAGAAAACGACAACAACAAAAAAAAGAAAGATTTCCATTGAGATAAAAACAGCAAAACAACAAGCAATACATGAAATTTCACACGGGATCGACTAAATTGAACATTAAAAAAAAATCATACGTTATTCTATAAAATTGTACAACAAACACGTCTTTTAGTTGAACTATCGTCGTTTATTAGCGACGTTTTTTTCGCGTTCAAAGTGCTTGTTGTGCTTGTGATATAGTCGGATGAATGATGACGTTTGATTTTATCACCGTCATTCGATGATTGTTTAATATTCGTGTCGGATTTTTGTTGATTATGATGTTTGTGGTTGATTAATGACTGTCTCAAAGCACAGAGAACAGATGACGATTGCTGTGGAGACGAAGATGAAGATGAATGATCTTGATTATTATTGATATGTCCGTTCACGATTGTTGTTGGTACAATAGCGTTTGATTTTGTCGAATGCAAAATAGTACTATTTCCACTTCCATTATGATTTGAGTTCTTTTTTGTGGCGGGTACTTTTATAGTTGGTGAAACGCTATTTACTGGCGATGTCGTTGTTGTTGTAGTTGCTGGTATGGTATTATCAACGACACTAGTCTTTAGTGTTGCTTCTTCTTCAATAATTGGCGTATGTTCTTGATGAGACGGTGTAGATTGTTGACGTTGATGTTCAATGAATGAACGCAATGACTCATTATCGTGAGCTTGGGATTGTAACAATCGAATTACCGGAGGAGCATCTGTTTTAGTAAACACAGTAGATTCACGTGGTGTTGAAAATCGAACGGACGTTCGTGATGCTATGGACATTTGAGACGGATTTGCTAGACGATGTTCGATGCTCAGACTACGTGTGCGATCAGTTGATATTGATGTTGATAAAATATTCATGTTATTATCATTGTTTGAACCGTCAACAGAATCACCATTTAACGTTAAACGATTATTTGATGCCACAGAACTAGCTCGTGAAAAACTGCGGCGTTTTGCATCCGCAAATTGACTATTTGTCGATGGTGTTGTCTGATCTGTTGATGTTATTACCAAACCAGAGTTTATTACATTTTCCACATTGCTCAGTGAACGCCCACGGTGTTGAGGATGATTTGTATGAGTATCATTATCTTGAAAGGAAGTGGGTCTATTTGTTGGAGATATGCGACGTTGTTTATTTTTCCCATTATCATTTCCGTCACCTTCAGAATCTGAACTCGATCGACTACGAGAAAAATTTAAACGTTTCTTTTCGATAACGGAACGTAAGTCTTTTGAACGTAATCCACATGTCAAGTCATCGTTAGGCAATGTCCCATTTGTTGTCACTGTTGTTGAGCGAATGGTTTTGGGTGTTCTCCTATCAAAATCATCTGGTTCTTCTTCTAAACAATCAAAGAAATCGAATTATTAATAGATGAACGAGAGCAAAGACGAAATTCTAAGTTGATTTATTCTAGTCTAAGGATACAAAGTGGATGAAATCGAATTTGTGTTGTTTCAGTGAGCAAATAACAATAGAATTTTATAAGTCAATTCTTTATAAGTATGGTGAATAAGAGTCGAACGAGAGATCTTGTGCTTTTGTTTTCTAAAATGTCCGAACTAAATGGATTCACACAACACATTTAAACCCCCCCCCCCCATAATAGAAGCCTCCGGGGCTTCTAAACTGTCCAAGCGTTCAAAATTTTTAGGGGGGGCTTGTATTATGGGGGGGCTACTATTACGACTTTCGTACAAAAATTTTCAGAAAAAAAAGGAGATTTTGAATTTCGATGCTCTTGTTCTCTTTCTAATCACGGTAATCTCAATTAATCTGAAAAAAATCTTTTCCGAGATAAAAAATGTAAATTTTATTCGTTTCCTTCTTTTACACACGACATCACACAAGAACAATTAAAGTAAAAAAACGCGTGTCGATCAAATGTGTCGTTAAAAAAATTTAAATTATTTTTCCGACGTAATAGAAGCCCTTGGGCTTCTAATACACCTTCCACATCGACTCCTCCAGAGGGGACTTCTAATACGGGGGAGGCTTCTATTATGGGGGGG